TTCTATAGTCTGCAGCGCCAGGGCAACCCTGCCATGGAGAAGGGAGTCCCAGCTTTAACCAGGGATCAGCCCCCAGCTTCACAGCAGGGAATTTAGAAATCCTGGGATGGGATCCCGATTCCCAGAATCTGCGGCTCTGAGGCAGCCCTGCATTGCAGACTGCTTCAGACCGAGGACCACCTGGCTAGTTGGGACACCAGCTGACCCAGGAGTCTGGAAGCCCAGGGGTCCCCAATACAAGGCAGTCTGCATGGCGAGGTTGCCCAAGAGCCACAGACCCTGGGAACCCCAGCAGCAGCTGAGAGAAATTGACATTTTTGTTTTTCTCTAAGCACTGGTGAAACTGACACGGATGTCAGTGTCACTCAGCATCTTCTGGTGTCCCTGGGAGCAAATTTCATGTTGGACACACCATGTGTTGGTGTTTCCAGAACAAATGTTGAGAGGATTTCTGGTTCACAGGAAGTTTTGAAATAGCAAAGTTTCCTGTGAGCTGGAAATCCTGCATTTCATCCAGTTCTTCTCATTGCTCCCCTGTTTAAACCTCCAAGGATCACCTCAGCCTTTTCACAGCATCACCCTGGGACCTCTAGTTCAGTGGCTTGTCCACTATGACACCTGTGAAGACCATGGGAGATATCTGTGTGTTTATGTATATTATGTGTACCTCTGTTTCTTTTATTGCTGTTTTACCATTTCCTACCAGGGTTGAAAGAGTAACTCCTGCTGGAGCTCCCCACATGTCCCAGCAAGGCAGACAGTGGCTACAGAGACCCCAGTCACGGGTACTTAACTGACAATACAGGTGTCAAGGCCTTTCAACTTTTGCCTCTGACCAAACCGGGCACAACCCGCCCCCAGCTTGGGAGAGGGGAGGGGCCATTCACGTGGGCAAATTAAATAAAAAGCTTGGGAACTTTGAAAAGGGGAGCCCTGATGAACAGAGAGGGAGAGGCAGGGTCTGCAGGGAAGGAGATTGAAACCCAGTCCCCAGAAGCAGGGGTACCTGGGATAGGTTGGCCAGCCCAGGTTTTGAGGGAAATGCTGAGGATTAGGTAAGACATATTCTTGTTGGCCTTTAGTTGCTTTAATACTTTTCTCTCTGGTCACTGTGTTCCTATGGATACATAAATAATATCACTCTCGTGGGCCTGGTACTAGTCAATATTTTCATTAATGGATGGTGGAGTAGAAAATAAGCTCATAAAATGTGTGGATGACACAAACCTGGGAGGGGTCACAAGCTCTTTGGATGAGAGTATTAGAATTCATAATGACCTTGATACATTGGAGAATTGGTTTGAAATCAGCAAAGTAAATTTCAGTAAAGACAAGTACAAAGTACTAGACTTAGGAAGGAAAAATCAAATGCAAAAAATCCAAAATGGGGAATAACTGACTAGGCAGCAGTACTGCAGAAAATGTTCTGGGGTTATATTGGATCACAGACTGAAATGGGTGATGCTGTTTTGAAAACAGGAAATGTCATTCTGGATTTAATTAACAGAATTGTCCTATGTAAGACAGAGGAGGTAATTGTCCTGCTGTACTCAGCACTGGTGAGGCCTCAGCTGGAGCACTGTGTCCAGTTTTGGACTCTCTGTCTACGATGGGTAGGACAAGAAGTAATCCACTTAGATTGCAGCAAGGGAGAGTCAAGTCAGATATTAGGAAAAACATTCTAACTCTAAGGATAGTTAAGTATCGGAAAAAGGTACCAAGGGAGGTTGTGGTATCCCCGTTGTGACATTGCACTCCATATGTTTCATGGAAATATGCTTATGAGCGTGAATATGATGTAACTGGAATATGCTTTATGCAAAAGTCTCCTGTAA